GACGACCTGCGTTCTGAAAACAACCGTCTTCATCGACAGGTCGAATCCCTCCAAAAGGCCAACGACGAACTCAACGAGGACGTCTTTAGAGTCGCGCGCACGGCGAGGGGACGCCCTGCATCTCCCAAACCCGCCCCGATCACATCTTCTGCTCCCTCGTCGTCATGGCCCGCTGTTCCCCAAACCATCGTTATCCCCGGGGTTGGCCCGGTGGATCCTGCGTCGGCCAAGTCTGCACCGTCAAAAAAAACCACCTCTTCCAAGAGATGGGCTCCCACGTCCGACGATGACGAGATGGAAGGCGAATGGGTCGTCGACCCTATGTGTCGGCAACATCGAAATGTCGTCGTCGTCGAGGCCGGAAGAAGCGCCGATCCGAGCGTCATTCTGCTCCCATCACTCCCGTGCCATCCATTTCCTCTTCCATCCATTCTCCAATCCCCTTTCCCCCCACTTATTTTAAATGGAAATCACCAAAAAATTTTACATTTCCGTTTCTTACATATGCTGCTGTTGTTGGTGGCAAAACAATGCAGCCATGTATTCCATTCCCAATTCTCGCCACCCCCGATACACATCCTCAAAGGCCATTTAAGGATGTCCGTCGACACCAAACTAAGGATCCGCCTTAGTTTAAGTCCACCCATCATTCCTTCTCGATTTTCGAACACCCAATGGTTGTTCTAGTGGGGGAGGATGTAGGGAATGGATGTGTGGTGATGCGTGCTGTGCACGCTTTCTTTCTTTCATTGTTTATTACTCTTTATTTCTCGATGTAAACAATGTATATAAATTGCGGGGAAGGGTGAAACAGGTTTTCACTCTTCTCCTCCCCTGTCGAAATTACAGCTCTATACTGCCTAATTCCTGACAGCTTGAGGATAGCAGGAGTCAACACCAAGGTCGGAACCTCAACCGACCTTACAGACAGCTAGGGGGCACAGCACTCCCTTTAGAGTTGCTGAGGCCGAATGCCCTACCCTCGGGCCTTGTTTGAGGCATCGTGGCCATCACGGCCTATAGCGGCCCGCTAACGGCGACCTTCGGTGCCGACCCCGGACCAGTGTCTAACAGAAGGTTGGTGTGGCTGTGGGGGAGTCGGCCAGGTGCAGGGGAGCCTAGGGGCAAGCGGGGGAGTGAGCAGGGAGTCCTCATGGAGGATAGGGCTGAGGTCAGCGCTCGCACTGTCAGGGCACACCCGCCTGACCCGGGTCCACCCGGACCCACCCGGCCACACCACACCCGCTCCCCGCTGTCTATCCCCCTCCCCCCTCCTTTCTCCCTCTCCTCCCCTTTCTTTTCCCTCTTCCTTCCCCTTTCTTTATTTCATTCTTCTCATCTTCCTCTTCCTGTTTATTTCTTTCTATCTACACGGACCACCTTCCTTTGTATCGATGTACTATTGACCCGTCCGGCCCACACACCCCGGACGGCTTCCCGCCGTGCCCAGCACGCGTGCATGCAGCGGACGCTCTCGGGATCCCCCACAGGGACACCCGGATGCCTGCAGCTGCCTCTGAGGATGACGTGGCACTCGTCATGTGACTCAAGCCGCATGTACATAAATGTACCTGAAGTGGGAACCGAAGAAGTAACCTTCTTCTCACATTCTCCACTTCAGGTAAGTAGTATAGTTTTCCCCTTTAATAATAATAACACATTCTCCACTTCAGTCTGAGTGGCCAGGGACCACTGTCCCGGATCGGGCCTGCCAGTACGCATGCCCGCTCCACACCCTGTGACGGCCTCAGTGCCGGACATTACCCCCGGGCCCTCTCGACCCCGGATGCGTCCCTGACATGCACTCACGCTTGCATAGCGGGAATGGGCTCGGGTGGCATCGGGATGGGCGGCTATCAGGCCAGAATGCACGGCCATGACATTAAGGACCAAATGGACAAACAGCAATGGCACAGCGCTCCGCTTGAGTTGCTGAGGCCAGGGTCCCTCCTTGCTAAGTCTCCGGTTCCCCTCTGGAATCGTCCGTCCTTGCCCAGTTCTAACATGTCCCATGTTTCGCCGCACCTTGTTATCTCGTGGCGAAGGTCACGTTTGACCTTCGCTGTCTTAAACACGTGCTTCTTGTTTGTTTTCCTTCTTCTTTTCTCCACCCGCAATCTCCGCGAGATCTGGTGACTTATTCCCTATTCAGTTCCCTAGCGCTTATATACAGCTTGTAACTAATGCTTGTACTGTAGTTCGAAATCAACTAGAAATTCACCCCTAAGCTTACTTCTGTTCCCCGTAAGACCTCCAACCTTCTGAAGTATCGGGACTGCGTCGAGAACGAGGTGCAACGCTCCTCCTCGAGTCGTTGAAGCCAAAATCCCGGCTCACTCGCCTAAGTAGCCTCGGCCTCAAGATCGGTGAGGTTATTCCTCGCTAAAGCTCGGTCATGTGTAGGACACCTGTACCACTAGCAGGCAATGTTCAGTCGCCTATGGCTACCATCGGCGAAGCTTCGCACGGTTCTGACAGCAAGTAGAGTTCAAGGTAGGTGAATAAGATGCGTGGGCTTTTGCTGGTGGACTCACGTAAAGCAATTGTGTGCATTCGTACAGAGTTTTCTGTGATTCTTCCCTATACACCACTCTCATGAAGCGCATCACATTCAAAGAACTGATGGATGACCGGGAGGAGACCGGATGTTGACTGTGGTCATCTATCACCAAACAATCCACAGGCTCGGGTTGACAAACTGTCGCGCATACCTCCCAAACGGTCGGACAACGTGTGAACATCCTGGAGCTGAATGAGGCAGTCCGTGCATAAGCATAGTGCAATCTCGCGTACCAAGTAAGGAGCATGAGCCGTTTCCGTCAGAGCCGGTGGGTTTCTGGTGATCTGGATTATACTCCCTGCAAGAGAAAGTTGCATCCTCATTGGGAAGCGGCAACAAAGCTAGGCCTCAGAGTAACATGGAGCGCACCAGTAAAAATCTGCGGATGGCGGTTGCGTGTCAAAAGCAGGTAGCTAGAAGTGATGTCTATCACGTACAGGGAAAAGCTCAATCGACAGATTCCAGGCTTTTTGATTCCTTTGGTGTTGAGGTGTCGGCAAGAAGACGCAGGGAATTTTCCCAGAGGCTCAGGAGGTGCAGATACCGAAATAGAGTCGTCAAGGCAAATAGTGAATATGTCGAAGAGATATCATAATATATGTTTGACACAAACCTATTGTGTTATCAGTGATTAATACAAGTTCATAGAGATTGGGTATATGACTGTTGGACTATAGTTCATGACGCCGCACGGAACTAGTATGCTGTGCGCCCTCACGCGCGGCATCATGATCTTGGCTACAACCTGTCATCACATTCCAAAACCATCCTTACGATTAACAACAGTCAAGCTGTACTATAAGAACCCCCATAACACCTGTACAGAATGACAATCAGCTCTTCTCTCAACCTCGCTAACACGGAGTGTATCCTCTGAGAGGAGGCTTGCACAGGACACACATTTATGGGAAAGTGAGATCCAATTTCGCGAAGCCAAGTCAGGTAGTGGGCGCGGCTAATCAAAGCCATGCCAGCATGGCATTTTTTGCACGGGTCAGCGAGGCCAGGCCTGATGAAACATGGGTGCAAACAACGAGTGGCTTCGAAGCCACATATGTACTTACATGCATTCGGGAACACGCGTGGTCCTCGGCCATGCATGCACGAAAATCATGAAGATCGCTGCCGCAAAAACACAAAGTAGGTTCTCAATCCAATTTCACCATTTCCACTACAGAACTACACAACGGCGCAGAACTTCGGTTCAACTCTGCATTTCCAACCATAAAAAGACATTGGTATGGGAGTTGCATCAGCAAACCTCGAAGGCGTGATTGCAGTGATTTTAATTCAAAAATTTGAATTGGAAGACCCTTGCTGATCCTAACCAATTCAAATTCTTAAATTAAAATTACTGCAATCGCAGCCTTCCTTACCTCTCGGTGGGCATGACCTAGGTGCGTTGAATTGTTGTGTTGTGTGTGACCACGACCTCTTGATCCCCCCTCAGCACGGCACCCTTGAGCACCTGAAATGTGGGCACTGAGACAGCTTAGCATACGTGACTGCTCAAGATCACATGGACAATACCGGAGGCTATGCGCTGAGATTTCAGGAACAGATTGCTTGGCATGGATCCAAGTTTCTATTTATGTGCAATTTGCCTTTGGGTTTCGCCAGGTTATGGCGCAGAAGACACGCACAGCCATTGCTGGGCTCATCTTCCTCTTGGGCACTAACGGCTTTCACCATGGAACCAAGTCTCTTCTACCTGTTCTTACTGTCCGTTCGGGAATGCTTTGCACGAGGGTTCAGTTCCTTGACGAATATAAGCTCTTGGGGCACGACAGATGTCGTCTGCAAGTTATCGTACAAATGGGTGTGTAACTTTGTCCGCGGTCCTTGATTCGGCGATGAACCGAAGTTGTCTTGCAGGCGGAAAATTCGTTGGGCCAGAACCCGTGTTTGGTGTGTAGTCTTTTTTGATTACCGCCTACAACGCTTACGCCACTCGCCGTATTATTAGGTCGCTGCGTATTTGGTCGGGGCTTGTGGATGTGCGTTCTTCATACCTCCTTTGTGTTTCCAGGCTGATGTTTCGTTCAAGGGTTTGGGGAAGTGAGGAAGCTGGCCCCGCTGTGTCAGCCCTATACGAGACCCTTGGCATACGGCGGCCTTGATCCATCAGTATGTATGTTATTCGTCGATTCCTTCGTCGTTGTTCCATCGATCAACGTTTGGCCTCCCGAAAGGCGTTTGTTCGTCTGTTGTCTACAATTTGATCAGCGCATGCGCTGGCTGCCAAGGGGAACCCTATATCATGTAAGTGATCAGTTTGCATCGCACTGATGCAAGGTTTGTTAAAGCCAGATTATCACAGGTTCAAAAATTATACTTCTGATTGCCTCAATTTTACCGTGATTGAAGGAGAGTGCGTAAGACAGATATTGTTCAGCATGGGTTGCTTTTAACCTTCTCCCTCTACACTAGCTTCCCCATTTCGAAACTTCCTAATGATACTCGCATTCCAGCTTGGGCCTATCTGCTGCCAAGCCAAAACAACGGTTGGTACGTCCAATCTTTTAGCATTGGTGGCTACACACCTGACAAAGCCCAATTGCATTAGGTACAATGCTCCACTCTCCAAAAAGACCGGAGGTTCGTAAGTTTATAGTGTGGTGACCCAATGGCATGAGCTGATGAATGATATGGTCCCTTGTTCACACAGGCTTCCCGGAAAATCAGAATTTCAGTAACCCTACCGGAGTCTCCAACTATAGCCCACCCTTGCCTTCCTGCTCTGGTGGACCGGAGGACGACACTGAGCCCACAAGCCCTCAGCCCGGGAACCACGGAGGCGGAGGCGGTAAGGGCACGAAAACGGCTGCGATAGTTGGAGGAGTCGTTGGTGGAGTGGCTGGTCTTGTGGTCATTGGAGCCGTTGCTTATATTGTTTATGCTAAGAGGGCCGCACGGGGTACCGCAGCCACCCCTGCAGGTGGCGGCATGACCACCGCTTATGGCGCTGGTATGACAGAAGTAGCCAACGCTCGAACGCCGTCCGCTGCTGGAGGTCCCGCCCGAATGTCGGATGCTAGTCCCTTTGCGGAATTAGGTGTCGGTATGTCCGAGAATGGCGCAGCACCGGGTATGGGCGCTTCTGCAGGGTCAGGGTCTGGTGCAGCTGGAAGTAGGACGGCATCGGATATTATTGCTTCCATCGCCGCCTTTCCTTCTGAAGTTCCAGCTTCGGCAATCCCTTCTGTTTCGATGGATCCTGAGGCTGGAGGTTATGCGCCCCGGGGAGGGGCTAGGCCAATTGGGATTGGATCTGGGTTCACGGGTGCAGACTCTGAATTTCCGGCAGCTTCAGGTTCCGGGGCGGGAGCGAGAGGAGGCGGTGGGGCTGGAGGATCGGCAGCCATTGCCTTTGGGGGGAGGCTGTTCGGCATGTCCGACGATAGACCAAACGACCAGGAGGTGCACTCTGTGCGAGAAATTGCAAGCGTGAGCAACGACACTTCGAGCCTACTGCATTCGCTCGGCCAGCCCCCTCCTTACAGCATTGATTCGACCCCCCAATCCCCAGAAAAGTAATATCGAAAAGTCCTAATTTTTTTATGTCCTCTGACCCCTGTTTAGCATTAGTTCTCGCGATCGTGTTGGATCAAACACACCTTGGGAATGAGTATTCACCAAACCAAAGTCCATATCACGCGCACCACTCTCTAGCACCTCAAACGCCAGTTGAGGGCTGGCCCATAATAGCTTTCCTTTCCGTCCTCCGGTGTGGCTGCATTACGTCGACTTCTTGTTTGTCTTTTTGGTACTGTTTTGGGAAACAATGATGTGTGCTTGCATAATTGATTGCAGTTTGCCGCATCACCCACGTCTGCAAACGTGAGAACTCTGTGACTACTGATTCTATATTGGCGGACTTTCTCAAGAGTACCACCGTCCAACGAAGTACTCCGGGACAACGATCGTGACCCGTTGTGGATGTAGCCATGCCGTGGAGATCGATGAAAAAAGACGATAGTGACAGTTGAATGAAGTATTGCTGAATTCCCGATGCGTGGGAAGTGACTCGGCAATGCGGGACTCAGTGATGAGCTCACATGGCTCACACTTTACTTCTTTAGCCTCGCATCTTCGAGTGAAGCATGGAGAGCTGTTTGATGCCCAACTCTTTGCAGTTCTGCTTGTGGGCATAGTTGCATACGAGAAGAATATTATCATTCGAACATTGGAAGACGATATCACGCGAGTGTGCAATGCCATCTCTCATGTGAGTCTCGGACTGAACGCCTTTGCCAGTAGTCAAGTGTCCTGAAGTTTATTGGCTTTAGATGCTATCGGCCATTTTTGGACTTTCCAATCACCGAGTGAATGCGCATAGACGCATGCCCCATACACACAGGGTACGAAATGAGTACACACCCTTGGTCAATAGCTTGTTTCTTGCGCCCACCTTCCCCACTTCCGAGCATTTTCGTCGGCGCTCCTCCGCTTCAATTGCTCGTGGACGAATGGTCCAGCCAAATACCCATTCCTCGCCTTCATCGAGAGCCCGGACTCTATCGAATGGCAACATAGTGCCCCATAGAGTTAGGATTCTGTCCAACCCCATATCAACCTCCCTGCATCACGGTGTATCGGCTTCGGCAGATAGCTTCTCAGCTTCTGCTTCCACAGAGCCACCCCTTAGCGAATCCCAAGACAATGTAACTCAGTTCGTTGCTGGCAATCAACCCCTAACTTCTGGCTCACCTCCCGACAGGGGAAGACACATGAGTATTGGTGTCCCTAGAGATTCAAACACCCCGTCTATTCCTACCAGCTCTGCACATCATCTCCCATCATTTCAGGATGCGCATGTTTCCAAACCGCCTGTGAAATCTCTGGACGTTGTACTACTCACTAAACTAGAAAGGGCTGGCTCGAGTGATCACGAAGCGTTGGCGGAAATGCTAAGAACTCGCAACGCTATTTTGACGCCGCTATATGATGAAGCGGAAGCCGAAGAAATAGCATTGCAACCCGGATTTTTTGTCGTATTCGTCTGTGGAATTGGAGATGGAAAGTCACGACCGCAGCTGCCACCTTACTTGGTAAGCAGATGGGACCCGTGTTTGTATCACATCCAGGACGATCTGAGTTATGGATTCTTGTAGCTTGACGAATTCTCATTCAGCTCGACTATCAGACTCGACCCTTCTTTCCCAGTTACGCGTCCAGGGAGACCTTCATCCAGTCCCTCTGTGACTCCCGAGGTGATGCCTTTCCAGTGCTCTTCCGTCCATCTCTTTGATCAGGGGTCCCTTTAGGAAATTGTCCGGCTGCGAAACCAGTGCAAAGATTTCTCTCCAGTGATTTTAGAAGATTCTCCAAGGACGTTTGTATCTCAGCATCTCCGGATTTATATCCAGAATTTATTGAGTGCAACGCGTCACCACCCGTCACTGCAAGGCACTTCGATATCTGCGCGTTGCGCTCAGGATTTAGAACTGTTCACTCGGATAGCCCGAGTCATATTTGGGAATGAAGCGCGAGGGAGTGAATTGGGTCAAGTATCTTCTTCTGTCCGTAGTGAAAAGCTGCCTCACAGGACGTTGGACTGCACTGAGAAGGATGTCGTTCGAGTCTTTGCGAGTGTCGTGGGGCATAGGCTTACTGCGAGGAGGCAGACACGCGGACCTCTAGGTTCAATGGTACGAACTTCCGTCCTTCCGCCTCAGGAGTATGACTTGGCGCGGCAACAAGTGGACGACGTTCAGCCGAAGGAAACAGTGAATGGAATTTTAGCGGAGATCCTCGCGGGAGTGTAGTTAGATTATAATTCAACGATGCCATGATTACCTGCACAGCAGTGTCACTCTCCACCTAGTGAAATTACGTAGTTTGTGCCACTTGTGCTTACGTGTTTGACTCTTCTGTAACATCACGTGTATAATACAATTCATCTTCACGAGTTGGTATGACTAATTCTGCGTGACACCTCCAACAGCCATTCTTGTTTCGTTTTTTCATTCAATCTGATCAAATGTTCATCTTCCATCTCTAGTGTCTCACACAGTGTCTTCATGAACAGTGTGTCCTTGAAGTCTCGAAGCAATCGTACATTGGCACGTCCTTGAGCTCTTGATAATGTGACGTACGCGTTAAATGGTGTAAGGGTCCCTCTCAAGGGTGTACCGATGTCTGCCCATAGGTACTCGATGGTTTGACCTTGAGCGCGATAATCTGTAAAAGCGTAAGCAGCATCCATCGTTATTTGTCTCCTGTTGATCACTTTCTTGTCTCCATTGGGCATCTTTACCTTGAATGTTCGTTGGATGGGAAAGATTGGAATTGTTGACTCTCCCAGCTCTTCTATTTCTGGTCCTTGATATCACTCTAGTTTCACTAGAGCGCAACTAGGTGGGTACTTCATTTCTTGCACAGCACCCGTCATGTCTGAGTCCTGAGGATCTGCCCATATCCCAACTATCTGCCCTCGAACTCCGTTCACGACATCGATGTCAGTGTCTAAGTTCGTTGTTATAATGACTTTGCCTCCGATTGCTAATTCCACGACACTTGGCAACCCTCCCTGTCGTCTCAATCTGGCTGTATGACCCTCCTCTTTGAACATGTGGCGGGCTATTGCCCATCGTTCCGACAGTCTCAATTCCCGTTTTTCTGTGGTATCCTTGGCATGGAATCGATATAACACTGTCCCTGTTCTGCAGCAATGTAACCGCAATGCAAGTTCGTTCCATTGTGTTCGAACTGCATGACGCGCTGTCACCAATACCGCTTCACACCAGGGAGGTTCTTCTGCATGTGTTTGGGGGCAGTTTGGCGTTCCTAACACAAGCCCACGCAACATATGGATCTGGTCCTTTGTACACTTCCCATGCCGACTATGTCGCAGGAATTTGGTCCACTCTTCGTCTTGCACTCGCATTTGATGTGTAAGAAAGACAACAGTCCTGAACTCGCTGTACACCTCCTCCTCAGCACTGTCAGTACGTGCATTCAATGGCCAATAAAGAGGTGTGGATTTTTTTTGTATGACTGGCTTGAATTGATGAAAGTCCCCGCAAATGATTACGCTGATTCCCCCCCAACTCTTTGCACTATTTTCCATTGGATGATTGTGCTGCCATATCAATGACAGTATGGTGGACATCCATCCAAGAAGTGTTCGGGATACCATGGAGGGTTCGTCAGTGGTGGGGTGTTTTTTCCTCTCCCGGGATGGTGCCATTTTTCGAATCCTGGCTGCTGATGGCATTCCTGCATGATTGGCTGTTAAGCCGAAGAGGACGTGAAGTGTCTTCCCTCCAATCAAACTCGCAGCAATTCCTGTGTATGCACCCCTCGCCAGCTTATCACTTGCATTCCGGCTTTCGAAGAACTGCGCAATTGCATGAATCACACGAGACTTGCCCGTCCCTCCCTCACCCGTCAAAATCATGAACAATTGTTCCTGCTCCATTCCACCAAGTGTCTGTTCAGCATGGCATGTCACTATATCGTAAGCACGATGTTGATCTTCATGAAAGCTGGACACGTCTACTTCCTTTGATGCATCCGTGCTTGCAACGTGTTCAATCGTTGATTGCAGCATTTCGTTGTACAACTTGCTGACCTCGTCTTCCACATTTGTCACATTGCTTTCACCGTTATCTCTCCGTTCCATCCCAACTGATGCCTGACCATCCATCATGATCGTGGTCCACGCAGTAAATTGTCGTAGGTTTTCATATGTTGCGCTTTGGATTCCTTCTGTACTAATTTTCCAATTATTGGTTTCATCGCAAAGAATGTGGGCACTTTTGGCTATCTCGATTGCATGTCGTGCATGAATCACCTAAACCACTTTTTACATCAACTGATTCACCATAAAACAAGTGTGATTCTCACCTGTTCCGTCATCTCTCGTTCAGCAATGAACACTTGCAACTGTTCTAAACTGCCTTCCATTGTACTATTCTCCTTTCCTTCATTCATGTCTTCCTCACTCTCACCGTCCTCTCCATCCGTCTCTTCGCTCATTACAGCTTGATCCCGCGTTCGTGCCCCTTCGAATCCTCGGTCCCGGTCATCCTTATCTGCTGCATCCTTGCACTCGTAACGATATTGTACATTTGATGCAAATCGCTTGATGCCTTCACATAACGGTTTGAATGCATTGTATGCTTCTTTCCAATTTTGACTTTCCAGCTTCAAATCCTGACGACCATGCCAAGGTTTCCACAACATCAAAAGACTTGCGTAATGCATGTCATTGTTCCCTTCCACACTGCGTCGTGGAATCCAACTGCCAACAATATCCACCACTGTGTTGTGATGGACATCGCACACAACCCTTCGTTTTGATTCCTGGTAACGATGGTTGTCACTGTAGCACGACCTCGTATGCCGAGGTCTCCCCTTTCTGCCTGGCTGTTCACTGTCTTCCATCGTACGAACCCCCATGGCCGTCCATTCTTCATACGTATCTTGCACGAATCCATACAAACTATACGCTTCCAACTCTGTGCCATGCAACATGTAGTCGTTCAATTGTGAGCGTGCTTGCATAGTTCCATTTTGCACCATGACCAACATAACATGTTCCTCTTCCACCTGAACTTTCTATCAGCATAGTTCATGCAGTCTTCAATCTCTTACTTACACTGTCATCTGTGGACTTTGTAGGTTGTCTTCCTTCTTCAACTTCTCCATCGTTAACTCTCCCATCATGCATTGCGTCTATAGCACCCTCCCTACCAACCACAACTAAATATTTTTTTATCCACAACACCCGATTTACTTACTGACTTGGTTCCAAAGATGGGTACCATCAGACCAACAGTGCCTTCATGCCGTTCCAATACAATGGTACGAAATTGTGCAACAGAAATCGATCCCCCCATCCCATCAAGTATGAAATCACTTGAGGTCCTGACTGTTCCTGTTCACTATTTGTCGCTCTCAGACATCGAAACAACATCAACCGCAATCTTTCGCGACTTTCCCACACTACTTCGGTGTCATCAAACTCATAAGCAGCATGCTTTGCAATGAGTGATGACATATTGTAGACACTCTTTTGTCCCTTCGTAGCATAGTTGGATATATACCAAGATAAGTTCTTTGTATCTTCTCCATTCGTAAGCAATTTGATGTCATGATTGCATTGCAGGGCCAGCAATAACTCTTGGTTGTAGTTATTCACATACCCATATGATCGCTTGACAGTCCAATTGCCCCTTTCGTCGACTGTCGCCTCGCTCGAAACTGGCCATGGAGCCCTTCTCTTACACTTCAAAAGTGCTGCTCGCCCATGGTACGACAGACAAGCACTGAGTCGACAACTGTGAATCTGATTGCACCTCACTAATCGACGCTCCAATGTGTCAGGGACGCGTCCGGGGTGGAGGGGGCCCGGCTGTAGCGCCCGGCAGAGGGACCCTCTCGGGGGACGAAGCGGGCGCGCGTACTGACGGGCCCGATCTGGGACTATAGTCCCTGGCCACTTAGACTGAAGTGGAAAACGTGAGAAGAAGGTTACTTCTTCAGTTCCCACTTCAGGTACATTTATGTACATGCGGCTTGGGTCACGTGACGGGTGCCACGTCATCTGCGGAGAGGGCCGCAGCCATCCGGGTATCCCTGCAGGGGATCCCGAGGGCGTCCGCGCGTGCTGGGCGTAGCGGGAGGTCGCCCGGGGTGTCCGAGCCGGACGGGTCAACAGTACAATGATACAAGGGAAGGTGGTCCGTGTAAATAGAAAGAATAAACAGAAAGGGAGAGTGAAATAAAGGAGGAAGAGAAAAGAGGGAAGAGGGAGGAAAGGGGAAGAGGGAAGAAGGATGGGTAGCGGGGAGCGGGTGAGCGGGTGAGCGGGTGAGGTGGGCCCAGGTGGGCCCGGGTGGAACCGGGTCAGGCAGGTGTGCCCTGACACAATGCCGCCCTTTCGAGGGTGTATGTCGGATTCGCTGGATTCAATGGTCTAGACCATGCTAAGTCAGCCTCACATGGTATGTCTTTGATCGTTTCCTTGTCCATGTCAGTGATATGAGCTCTGATATTGTCTGCAACGTATTTTCTGACCCTGTCGCGAAAGTCCGATGTCGTGAAAAGTTCCTTCAACTCCGCAGATGTTGGTGTGCCCTCCATCCAAAGTAACATATGTAAATGAAGTGCAGCTCGATTCTGTGATTCCACCACTCCAATGTAGGCCACCACACGTCCAAGAACACCACCGCTGCAAATGGTCCGATGTCCTCGTTTCTGGATGCCGACCAAAGTCTCCAACATCGTCGTTATGAAGAAATGAAAGAATTGTGCAGCTCCAAATGGATCTGATGCTATGTTTTCTGCTCTTTCATGTGCATTCGGCCCTAATGTACGATCGAAGTGATCGAGATCGATGTCTGCTCCATGTCAGGGACTCGTCCGGGGTCGAGGGGGTCCGGGTATAGCGTCCGGGACCGAGAGCCTGGCGGGGGGCGGATCGGGCGTGCGTACTGACAGGCCCGATGTGGGACAGTAGTCCCTGGCCACTTAGACTGAAGTGGAAAGTTGTTATTATTATTAAAGGAGAAATATTGTACTACTTACCTGAAGTGGAAAGTTGAGAAGAAGGCTACTTCTTCGGTTCCCACTTCAGGTTCGTTTATATACATGCGGCTTGGATCACATGATGGATGCCACGTCACCCTCGCACACAGCCGTAACCACCCGGGTGTCTCCGTGGGAGATCCCGAGGGTATCCGGTGCAGGCGCGCATGCTGGGCACAGCGGGAAGTCGCCCGAGGTGCCCGGGCCGGGTACATGGTGGGCGCGCTGCAGATGGGTCAGTTGTACATTGATACAGAGAAAGTCGTCCATGTAGAATAAAGAGAGAATAAAGGGGAAGTAAGATAAGGAGAAACTGAGGAGGGGAGGATGAGGGGGAAGAAGGGAAAGGGGGAGGGGGTAAGGAAGGGTGGACTGGCGGGGTACCGGGTCAGGTTGGGCCGGGTGGAGCCAGGTCAGGCGGGTGTGCCCTGACACTCCACAAAAAACTTGAGCAATTGGATCGTGTAGGTCACTGGGATTGATGGTAACCCATAGACTCAGCGGTCCATACTTTATACTGAGACTCCAAATCTTGCTATGAATGGAGGCTCGACTTTGATTTGTACCAACCACTCGTCCTGCTGTTATCTTCAAATGATGCAACAATCTCCGAACACCGACATCGGAAATTGGCCTTTTCTGTCTCTCCTCCTCCGCTGCCACTTTTAACTGAGATATGGTCACAGATGCCAAAGACCGCATATCCGATTCGAAATCCCTCCACGACATCTGAACTCTTGCAGATGCCAAGCACTCTTGCTTCTGATGGATCCCAAATGCAACGAAAGGAAATGAGTGATGCCTTCTGAACCGCTTGTCGTGATACAAAAGGCACCAGCGAATGTACTCCAAGAACGACAACTGACGACTCCTTTCTCCCCTAGGACCTCCTTGTCCATATGGAAATAAGGTTGGAAACGCTGACATGAAGAATGTATTCTGATCTTCCCCCAAATCCCTTGCATACTGTCTCCAGGATCGAACCACATATCCTCCTTCCTCTGATAGGTTGGCAAGCGCATGCTTGAGTAAGTCTCCACTAGATAACAGACTTATATCTTGTGGAGCTGCCCCTAAGTGTGTAAGTGGTACAACGCATGCTTCGCTTTCCACTCCCACTACACACATATCTATAAGTACATCCTTCTCTAGCTATTGATGTAGACACTCTGTCATATCCGTGCATACCCGACCCCGACCCGACTTCCGGACCTCCACCCTCTTCACCTCCGGAGTCATAACCTACCGCTGCCGTTCCGATACTCACCCTCGGTCCTGGTACACACCTCCTCCTTACCTCTCCGACCC